ATCTCAGCCCCGGGGAGTGAAGATCATTTGATGACTTGGCAAGATGGGCTGCTGCTGCTGCTGCCCAGAGCCTGCCAGCCCCGCAAAAAGCAGGCCAGCTCCACAGCAGCAGCCTCAGCCACTTTTGGAAGAATAAATTAAAAAAAACCCAAACAAGCAAACAAACCAAAACCAAAACAATCAACCAACCAAAAAACAATCCACAAACCAAAATCACCTTTCCTTGGTGTTCCCAATTTCAATACTACAGGTATCTAAAGCTGCATCTTTACAATCCTCCCCAAAAGCCTGACAGTGCAACCCAACAAGTCAGTGTCTCTACAACCACCAACGCTCAATTCAAGTTACATTATGACCACGCTTTGATGGAAATCTAATTCCATGTTTGACAGTTTATGGTAGGTGGGCAGAAACCTCTTAAGAGCACCTAGGCATGGACAACACTGGGCAGTATACAAGTCACTCAGACAGCATTCAGGATTTCACTTTTATTTATTTTTTGCCTTCTGGATCATCAACACCCTCATTGAGACTCCTCTGGGATTCTACCCCCACGAAAGTAGCACACAATCTCCCAACTTGTTCAAGCAATTGAAGAGGGGGGAAAAAAAAAAAAATCCCCAGCAAGATCACTCAGAATGGGGCTAAATGCTTATTTTGAGGGGGTGGCAAAGAATTGGGTGGTGGCAGCTCTGGCTTCAAGAAGCCAGACTGAAAAGGAGACCTACAAAGGAGAAAATGGGCTAAAAAATATTTAGCAATCCTTCCTCTACCCAGAGAGCAGGGAGTAAGGAAAAAATAGTAATCTGATTACACACAGGGTATATATTTTTACACACACTTTTACACACATCTAGATATAGTACATGTAAAAATATATGCTATACATATGCCCATTCTCACCAAGGTGCTTTTAGTGCACCATCTGCACTGTGCATATGGGCATGTATATGTGTGTATGAATTAAATGTACAGGTACTACTAAGTGTATATGTGCATATGTACACATCATACAGGCAGGCAGCCTACCACCAGCTACCTGTGCCTTCCTCTTTGTACAAAACCCAGTCCTCCCACCCTGAAATACTGTTACACTCTCCCCAGCCCTCCCTCCCTTCCCCGGCCCACTTTGAAACAGGTCCCCCAGGGTAGCAGCTTCTTTCTCAACAAGCCATTCAAGGAAAACAATTTTGTAAAGGGAAGAGGAGAAAAATCAAAGTAAAGCTTGTGTGGATCATGGCCATAGTTGCTCTGTGGTCCTTCAGCTCCCCTCCTGGGCCTAGAGTAGGGTACAGCCAAGCACTGTCCCTTCCCCCTTCGCCAGCTTATTGCACATTTGCTTCTGGGTTGCATTTCAACAACTCTGCATTACATTCCACAGACCCTGTCCTCCTCTCACTTCAATATAACAGAGGAATACAAACCCGCTGCCCTGTCCCTGCCCACCCGTCCTCCCCCCACCCCAATATCCCCATCAAAAGGAAAACAAAAAAAACCCACCCCAAGAAAGGCTGCTTGCTAGCAGAGTGCAACAGTAGTACACACTGAATGGGTGTTCTCTTCGGGAGCTCTGTGGAAGAGAGGTTATTTCTAACACGGTAAACGAAGCCATGCAAAGGGTGGGAGAAAGGAAGCCGAAGGAGGAAAAAATAAAGGATGAGAAGGAAGAACAGAACTGAGGAGGAGGAAGAACACAGCATGGCAAGTGCTCAAGGCTTCGTGTTGTCTTGTCCTCTTCTTGTAAACAAGCTAATAATTCTCATTAGATAGAACAAGTAAAAAGACTGAAGTTCCAAGTCGAGGGGCTGGAGTTTCCAGGAGTCTGTTCAGTCCATTCAGCAACACCACAGCCAGTGAGAAAACAAGGGGTATTTTTTTGTTTGTGGGTTTTTTTTTTTTTTTTTTAAAATCTTCATTACTTAAAGCTGAGAGAAAAAAGCCAACTCAGGAGCCCTTTTCAAGGATGGCTCATTGTCTCTAGACTGAATAAATCACACTAGTTTAGAGAACCTTTTTTTTTTTCCTTTTTAATGACTTATAAAAACCACGCGGTGCCTTCCTCTGCCCCTCTGCTCAAAGGCGGGTCTGTGCCTCAGGGACGTAGATCTCGATGCTATCTGCGCTCTCCGTGGCCGAGTTCTGCCGGACAGAGGCAGCTCGCTTGGCCGCCATGAGACGCTTGCGAGCTTCCTGGCGCTGCTTGTCTGAATCAGAGGCTTTGTCCCGGTTCAGCTGGGATTTGGACTTGGCTGGCTTCTTTGGCACTGGAGGGGGTGGTTTCTTCTCTTCCTTTAGGGAGACAGTAAGGAAAAACCCAAACATAAAATAAAAATGCACATACAGAAGCTTGCTCTCTGATATGGTGGGGACTCTTATGGCTTGAGCGACTAAGCAATGAAATCGAGTGTCAGCTGAAAGAAGCAGGAGCAGTTCTCGAGCAAGACACTCATCCAAACCAGCTTCCCCAATTTCTAGAAACATGCCAGTTCCCATTTCATGGTATAGAGGCCTTCTGTGAAGTAGATTAGAGTTTGCAGACTATGTCTGGCCCAGCTATGGGTCAGAGCACAGCACAGGCAGCATGAAGAGTCAACTTGATCTGGAACTGCAAAATTTTAAGATGCCACCCTGCCCAGAGCCATAGTCCTCCTTCCTGCCCTCATGTGTAGTCAGGCAGCCTGGTCCAGGGACACAGCCTGTGCTGCATTTTTAAAAGGTTCCAGTAGGTGCTTTTTATGCTACTCAGACACCAGTAATAGGTGAAACCTATTCATACAGTGCTTGTAACACTAGAGGCCTCTGTATCACTGCTTTAAGCATACATCACCACTCATTGCTCTGGTCTCTCGCCATTGTGACACTTTTTCCCCTTGTACAAAATTGTTTCCACTGTTACTCAAGAGGAATGGTCTCAGTGCATTGCAAGGCTGTGAGATTACACTGCACAAGTGCAAGATGGGAAAAGCCCTAGAGATCTTCTGTTGGCAGACAGAAATAGACCTCAGATACCCAAAATGCCCGTGAGGTGCTCTGGCCACGCGCAACTGCCCCACACTCACCTTTCTCTCCGGTGTCTCTGCCAATTGCCAGCTATTAGCTTTCAGGTGGTACAGCTCATCAAACTTCATGCTGATGTCTTCAATGGACAACTGCAGGAGATCCCAAAACCCAGCTAGGTCCTGGGCTGTGGGTCTGGGATTGGCATTAGGGTTCTAAAAGGGAAAGCATTAAAAAAAAAAAAACCCTTTCAGAAAGAATATACCCTCCTGACAAGCAGAGCAGCCTGCAGAGCTTACATATTCATGCCTTGAGCCTGACAACTGAAACATCAAGAACCCACAGGAGACAGCAGCCCTAAATAGGCAGAGACACAATTCCATCATTTACAGTCAAAACTATTTCTGCAAAGATCAGGAAGCAGAGATACCGACTGTATTTCTCCTACAGGAGCCTGAAGAAGAATCCTGAAGGAAACACTCTCTGTAGCAGAAAGCAATAGCTCCCATTCTCCCCAAAGCTTCCTGAGCTAGCACTAATCCCACAGCAGTAACCTCCAACTGAAGGTCCCCAGCACGTGATTCAGAGCTAGAACACTGGTTTCTTACACAGAGATCCTGATTTCAGGGTGGGTAATAATGGAAATGGACACAACACGATACAAAGCACAGCTCTGACACCTGCAGAACTTGCATCCCAGTGTACAGCAACCCAAAGAAGCCAATACAGCTTTCACGAGCAAAATTATTTTGCTACAACTCCCCACAAAACAATCTGCAAGTATCAGTATTTCTCAGGCTAGGCTGGAAAATTTTAAGTAGCTTAAGTTTCTTCCAAGACCAGAATTTTCCCAGTTCTGAGACATCTGAACTGCCATCATAGGCCTGGATTGTCTCGGGAAAGCATGGGATCAGATCTGAACAACTCAGCACAAAGTGCCAAAGGGAGACCTCAGCACAAAGCTCTGTCAAAAGCCTGGCAGCAAGTGGTGTGGCTGCTCATCTCTCAGCTGTGATCAGCCAGAGATCAGCAAGCAGATGCTCAGCACTTCACCCCCTCCTTCTCCTTCCCGAGTTTCTCTAAGTGTTTTTTGCCAGTAAAGGGGAATTAACCTCTGAGGAAGTTTGCAAAGTCCATACCACAATAAAGCTTGAGGGGAAAAACAAAACACAGATTCCCATCCATCCCCACGTCAGCCTTGTTCAGCTCTCAGCAAGGGCAAACCCTTGCATTACATTCGAAGAGATCTATTCAAACCGTGCTTTGTGACCAATGAGAGTCAGTCCTGTTGGGACAGTTTTACCACCCACAATCTACATGCAAAGCAAGCGTGTTTGGAGAACAGCAGCAGACTTTTCAAACATTCCTCCCTATTTGGCAAAGCCTCAGTGATACACCTCAAAAAGCCCGTTAGAAGTAAGAAGAGAGAGGTAGTTCCCAGGACACAGCAGTATGGCTAGCTGACAGTTCAGACCCACAGAGAGACTCAGTGTATTCAGCATGCCCTGATCAGCAGTTCAGAAAAATTCCCCTGTGCTCACGTAAGCACCAAAAGGAATTGCAAACACTCATCCCTGAGCAGAGCCCAGCCCAAGAACTGCCTGTTCAGAAGGGAGGCTGGGGCGATCAGCCTCCCACTGCTCAGCCGCTGTTTCAAACTGGCACTCATCCATCGTGGCGTGGTGCTCGGGTTGTAGGCTACAGCTGCACTGGCTTTGTTTTCACAGTGACAGTAGCCTGTTAACACCTGATCATGTTCCTGTAGTGCTGCTGAAACCGATACATCCTCCTCAAAAACCAGGAGAAACAGACCCAGACTCACCAAGTTTTGTTCACAGAGGCCGTGGAATTGCTGGAACTTCTGTGACATTAGTAACTGTGCACTGCCCACTGCACTCAGGACTTTTCCTAAGACTATGGGGGAAAAAAAAAAAAAAAAAGAGACAAAGATCTCAGTTGAGCAGACTATTAAATGCAACAATGAACTCGAGTGTTTCTGAAGCAAAGAAACACTCTTGATTCATTAGAGAAGGAGTTTCAGAGATCCCCAAGGAACTAACTGCTCTCAGGTAAAGAGGATGTATTGAATCTAATCTACATCTATCTTTGCCATCTATTATTGCTCCTTCTAGAGCAGGTCAAACGCAGGCCAGAGTGAGAGCATTACATCAGAGTTGGCAGAAAGTACCTTAAACTGCGATCAGCCCATCAGACAAGCCACCAGCACCATCTCAGCAAGCAGATCTGCTGGCACCTGCTTGCAGATCACAACCTGCTCTTCCACCCATGCATGAGGTGAAGGTATCAAGGGGCAGGAGAACTGTCTCCAACCTCTATGTACCAGAAGGGATTAAAATACTGGCAGTCTAGGGCTTTTAATACCCAGAACTTTATGCTGCTTTTAGTGAGTTTTCCAAGAAGCCTCTGGGCATGGCAACATTCCTCTGCACATTAATAGAAAACTGGGCTTTTCCCTTCCAAAGGCACAGCTGAGACACCCACCGTGCACGCAACTGCACCATGAACAGGGATGAACTGATTCCCCTTCTCCTCCCTGGTCTGCTGCTGCACCTACTGAATCAGTTCTGAATGTTTATAGATCTTGGTGGGACAAACGTAAGCCGGGCTCTCTCCATAGCCACCAAGTTCTTGGTTACAGAATCTACTAGGAGACTGCTCTTGGAGGACACAGATATAATGTCACACTAGTCTTGGTGTCTTTTCTTGCCAGAGCACTCTTGCCACAGACAAAACAAGGGCATCCCCTGAGGCAGGGAGAGCCCGGGCACTGCCTGTCCAGCGCGGCAGCCAGCGCACATCTTAGCACAACAGGATTAGAGATTAGCTCCCCCAAGCCCTAGCAGTCACAGGGAGCTATACCTGAGTCTCACTGGTATTTCATCTTTCTCAGGTACTTAGCACAAATTCAGTGACACTTTCCCATACAAAGAAACTTCCTCTTTGCTGTGAAGACAAGTCCACCGATTGCAGAGACCAAACAAGCTCAGAAGTCATGTTCTTTCTGCCCCACTGGCAACTAAAACTTTCACCTGCCTGCTTGAGTACAATGGGCTAGGCAGGGAGAATGATCCCACAGCCGCCCTGAAAGCAATCCATGTCAGCTTTTAGCCGTTCGGAATGGTCAGAAGCTGCACTGTCCCCTGGAAGTCAAATATGCTGCATCACAGTATTATTTCTTATCCCATCCGCTAAAGGAAGTTACCTTATCCTTTCCAAAGCAACAGTGCTCCTTATCCCATAGTCATCTCCATGTTCTGTTTCTCTGTGGGCGATCAGCAATTTAACTGCAGAAAGCTGATCCAATACTCAGTTACAACTCTTTCTCAAGCGAAGAGCTCCTAGGCTGCTCCAGTCTAGTGTCCAGAGGCTGACAAGACCTACCTTCTTCAGAGAGATTGTTCTCTTTGGTCTCCTGGTTCATCTGGCGGCACCAGCCTTCTAACCGCTCTGTTTCTGCCTGCAGCAGCTTCAGAAACCAGTACCCATCCCGCCGGCAGGCTCCTGGCTGTGTGGGTTCTGATGGCGAGGTGGAGGATGTCTCAAGCCAGGGGTCAGGAGGAGGGAGAGAGGAAGGCTCCAGGGCTGGGTCATTGTTTTCTCCATAGGAGAGGTTTCTTTTAATCTGTGAGGGCTTGGCTGGTTGCCTGGTAGTGGCATCAACACCAACAGAGTTGTTGTGTTGGGGGCACTCAGCAAGGCTTCTCTCAGATGATTTACAGCTAGAGTTATTAGGTTCCTGTGTGTCAGAGTCTGTGTCCTGTTTGGAGGACATGCTGCGAGAGTGGCTGTTTCTAGAGAGATCAAAAGCAAACATTAAACAGCAGAACTCTACCTGGCTGGCCTCACACACTGACACTGAAATGCATTGGTTTGTTATGCCTGCAGATGAGCCTCACCCTGCCCGCCCTGCCCCTCCTCACACACAAACACACACCACACATTCAGACAGACAAAATTATAAGGTTGCCTGCTTACTGCAATAGGCCGTTCAGACGAGAGGACTGACGCACATCTATAATTACATCTTGTACTTTTTATTTTTAATTTCAAACTCCCATTGATTTGGCTGTTTACAGAAAAGTGGGGTTTTGCAGCGGGTGTGTGCTGTGGAGGAAGAGCTCTCCATGGCCCCCATTCAACACCACTCACATTGGAACAAAGAAGGAGAGAAGGTCTAAGCGAAAGTGGGGGAAGCGCAATTTAAAAGAAAGGAAACTACAAAAGCTTGCGTCTTTCACTTACCGCCACTCGTCCTCTACCTGTACCCCGATGGACTGGAATTTGGTGGCTGGTGGAGGAGGCTCCTCTTTTGCCACTGGCTGAAGGCAGTCAACCTTATTAAACAAAAAAAATACAGACAAAAACAGACACAAGAACTTGCTGCTGGAATTCACATTAGTAGACCAGGAGGGCTGCGCACACACACAGCATGCTGACACCACACACCAACTGGAGGGTTGTCTTAGGAGAGGCACGAGGCTACCGCCCAGGTCTGCCTCCACTTGAGCATCAGGACTGTACCCTGCTGGGCTGCTGCCATGTATCTGCTCTACAAGCACCGGGCTCTGCCATCCTCTGTGGTTTGCGTGGTTGCGGGATGCTGGTGAAGGGCTGCGTGTCCCTGAGTGAGGGAGCAGCTCTGTGTGTGGCATCTGACAGGGGCAAAGAGATTCAAGAGAGGGCAGTGATCTGATTAAGAGGGACAGCAAAGCCCAGCTTCCTCTCTCCCAGGGACTGACACCCTCCATAGCTCTGGATAAAGAGGGCTGGAAGGTTTTAGGGAGGAAATCCAGGCCGTGGAGCAGGTGACTTGGGAACCAGCTCAGAAAAGGAAGAGAAGGCAGTCAGCCTCTTCAATGTGAGTTCTCTTGCCTTGCTGCCCTTCCAGCATGTGTTTTGCCCCACTAGCCCCGCAGAAAAGCCTTCACTATCACATGTACCTAACTGGCGAGCTAGTCTTACTGAAAAGCCGACAGAGACCTTGTTCAGCACACACACACCGTGGCTGAAAGCCCAAATCCTGCATTTGGACTTGCAAGTGCTCAAGTTCCTATCTGCAGGTAACAGCCAGAACAAATGCTGGCAGCAGTCAGCCATCTGTAACTGGGAAATCTGTCCACAAGAGCAGATCGCAGACGACCTAAGTTTTACTGAATAAAGCATGGGTTTACGCTACTGCATGGGATTCTCATTTGACTATATAATCAACAGCTCATTTCCATTGATTTCCACAGAGTTAAATGCTTCCAGCAAGGGAGGGCACTACCTGCTGGAATCGCTCCCTCCTGCCTACAGCCCTGGGACCATTTCACACTGCAGCAGCCCATACTACGTGGATGTCAAGTAGAAGGGCCCACCTCTCAGGAGAAAGGAGTCCCTAGAACCAGGATGGACAAGGAGCAGACTGATGTTAAGTAGTACATAGTACAGAGCACAGGCTCAGCTCAGGCATACCATCAGCAGAAGGCCTCTTTAGAGGGACCCAAGCAGTTAACACTGTCCCACTGCTTTATGAAACATTTTAGTTTTGTACTAAAAGAACTTAGTCCTTTCTGGTCTCTTATGGAAAGCCTCTGCTGTATTTCACGCTCCTTGGAACACAGGAAGTTAGTCTGACAAGGCAGTTAGTTTCTCTTGCTATTCTTAGCGAGTTCAGATGCACACCTGGTCACACAAAATGCACACGCTAAATGGATGGGTTAAGGACATTCCTTAGGACAAAGGAGAACAAACTATTCCATACTTGTATTCCTATAGACGACAGCTTTCTTTTGGGGATATTCTCCACTTTAGGCTCTTCACTAGTCAGAGTCCCTTTGTCACTTTTCAAAGTTGCATTTTTCTGGGGTAACTCTGGAGTCTCTCTTGCTGGAGTCACAACACTTCCCCTCGTCACACTGGGTGTCCTGGTGCTGTCCAAGCTGTCCGAAGAATTGCTGAGTCCCGACTGGCTGGTCACCTCGCTCTTGTGGTCCTGGCTGTCCAGGTAGGTGTCCTGTGCCGATTCAGTGCTGCTCTGCACAGTGACAGAGATGAACGGCTTTGATGTGGTCCGAGGTGGGACAGGAGGTGGAGTCTTTTTATATGCCACTAGGCATGATGAACCTGCAGCAATGGAGGTGGGAAGAATGGAGAATGCAAAAGACAGATTGGGGAGAGAGAGAGAGATACAGTAAAAGAGAAAGAAAAAGCAAGGTCAGTCACAACATCCAAAAGGAGCCTCCAAGTAGAAGCTGGAGGCAGAAATGCAGAAACAGCCTACAGCCAGCAGCTCACACTGGGTAACCCAAACCAAAGCATAAGGGGAAGCAGAAGGCAGAGCCAGAGCTAGCTTGCAAAAGAAGTCAAAAGGAATACCATGATATGTGAAAGGCTGGAAATGGAGAAGAGGTATAGAAAAGCCTCCCAAGAATGCTACGGGGTTTGGCAGGTGTAAGCCTCCACGTTGGGGAAATTTTCTGTGGCTAAACCCTATGTTTTAGTGTCCTAGTACAGCCAAGTGTCTCAGCTCTTTGTCCCATCAGTTGACAGGTTTCAGTGTCGGGACCAGGGTGGTGTTTTTTCCTATAAAAACGGAAAGAAGCCATAAAGTTTGTTAGATGCTGATGGTAGGAACAAACATTTGTGAAGTACCTTAAAAACGCAGCTGCTACGTGTTAGAGGAAAATACATCATCTGGATGCAACAGCCCGAGAGTGGCGAGGCGGCTGCTGCTGCTCTATCACCAGACCCAACCAGTAGTGAGGCAGAAGACGTGCTCCCAGCAGGCACACAGAGCACACATACCCAATGGGCGTACGTACATACGCATGGCTGGCCCCACAGATCACAGAAGAGCACCCATATGAACACAGACAGCAGCAATGGCCTCATCCTGCTCCTGTCTCTGGAATGGAAGTCCATTTGTGAAAACACCAGGTGGATCCTGCAGCAGCTGCACTTAGGCACTCAGTCTGCCCAGTTCCTGGCCCTTGGACATACAAGCCCCTGAGGCCGAAGTCCTACTCCAGCTGCTGTCCAGACAGGACAGACCACACTGGGCAGGGCATGGCCAGACAAGTGCACTGACCGGCCACCTACCTCGGCATGGCTGATGCCTTTTATCCCCTTACCCCTGTATTCTCCACTCTTGTTCCTCCCCAGATCACCAAAACCCCTTTCCTGTGCCACCTTTTGTTCCTCCCCTAAATACCCCATTAAGTCCTGGGCAATCCCAAACGGCTTTTCCCCTGCAGCCCCATAATGTGTCCCAGCCCTTGGCAGCAACCTCCTCAGTCTGAAAGGAGATCTGGAGAGCTGCTCCCCATGGCTCATGGGGATGGCCTAGAAACAGGGCTGAGGCTCTGCTGGGACAGCCCCAGGAGGGGCCTGGGCAGAGTGTTCAGTGCTCAGGGGCTCTTGGCTGGGGTCCCACCTGACATTGTGCGTACCTGCTTGTCCCTGCTCTGGGCTGGTGCAGATGGGCCTGTGGTGGGCTGACGGCTTCTGGGATGGACCTGGGAGTAGCCCAGCAGGGTGTGACTTGGGCTCACCCTCCTGCTACTGTCGGAGCCCCTTCATGGCTGTGCAGAGGAGCTTTATCCCACATAACACTGCGCTGCTCCAAGGCATAACCAGAGAGGCTCACACCATCCTCTCTCCCTGCACAGCGCTGCCCAGCCACCCGTTCCACCTCCTGGGAGGGCCACGCTCCTGAAGTGGGAAACTTAGTGCTGCTGCCCGGTTCCTCCCGAGGGGCTCGTAGGTCTGCATGGCTGCAGCGTGCTGAGCCCTACAGCCCCACTGCCCTGGGAGGGGGCTGCAGGATCAGGGGTGCTGCAGGTTTCAGGGTAACCCGGGCAGTGCCTGCAGGGATTATCCTTCTCTTGCCTTGGTGTCTCGGTGGTGGTGCACAGCTGTGCTTGGTCCTGCAGGCTGTGTAGGGAGCTTTGCTGCTCCAAACTGTGAGCAGATCAGCTCCATCACCACTGCGGATCATGGTGGGTCAGGCCAGCCTGCCCAAATTGTACCTTACGTATTAGGAGGAGACAGGTCTGTGCTCCTGGACTTGGTGAGTCAGCATGTTACCAAGGTGTGTTTGCAGGGCAGTCCCTTTCCCACATCAGTGACAAACCAGGTGTCCCTGTGTAAGTCACTACAGTACAGTGGTGTGGGAAGCTCCAGTGGTGGCAGGGCTGTCACTCTTCTTGGTTGCCTGCTACAACCCACAGTCCTTGGACTCCAGCAAAGGGATTCTGTCCTTCAAACTGAAACCCCATGTACCGTCCTGTTCCATGCGCACCTTCCCCTTGGCCCTTGACACACAGATGTTGACAGATACCAGCAGAGACCCATATACCTCCCAGGTCACCCAGCCAACAATACAGATGGGCTGAACAAACCAGTTTCTGCATGCCTTCCCAGCGCAGCTCTGATGACTGCAGGTGCTATCATTCCCTTGGGCTCCCTGCTCCAACCCACATTCCCTGATGGCAGTAAAGTTCTGCACCTGAAATTGCAAGCTCCTACTCCCCACTGCACTGCCTAGCCCCAGACATAACCTCCCCAAACCTGCTGAAACAGTGATAGATGTATATGCAGATAGAGACCATGTTCACTGAACAATACAGATAGGCAGTTAACTTTACTATTTCCATCCCCAAGTAGCCACCAACATATTAACAAATTTAACCAGATTAGAGACCAGTCCTCTGTCGGGAATCCTTTGACTACTTTGGGACCGTGAGCGCAGGCAGACGTACCTGCTGCTTCACAACGTTACCTTCCATCCCCAAACTGAACACTGCCTGCATGCCCCAGGGAGCTCATGACAGGGCACTTAAGAGATGTTTTGATCCTTCAGGACAATTGGACACAATCAATCCTGGCTCAGCCCATCACAGGGTGTCTTCTGTTCCCTGCATAATTTTAACACTATTAACAGAGAAGTATCGAATGAACCCGATCCGAATTGATTACAGGTACGGGAAGGGGTGTTGCAGGTGACATGAGCCTCCTGGCAGCTCCTTTTCCTCCCCAGACAGGTCCCTCTGCCTGCAGTGGAGGCCGACCATGCTTGTGAGGCACTCAGGAGAGGTGTCCCAGCTGCCTCAGTCTTTAGTGGGGTCAGAGCCAGCCCCAAGCACCCCTGGGAGCCCAGCCATATTCCCTGCGGGAAGATCACACAGCTACACCCTGAGCCTTATTGACAGTATTTACACATGCCTGTATTTATACATCCCAGTATTTACCATATTAACAGCTAAAGTTACAATTCAAAGAAGGAACTAAAAGGGAGGGGTCACAGAGGAGATCTATGTTTCCAAAAGCATTTACATGCCCAAAGATGCCGAGAAGCACCGTAATGGTGCTACTGCTGCAGGAGAACTAAGGAGCCTACGACAGGGCTGCCCACCAAACTGCCTTTCAGTGTGAATCTGGAGAGGGGCTCAGGCAGGCACGAGACCCATACCAGCTCCCCTGGTCCCTCAGTACACCAAGTCCAGCACAAATTGAGTAGTGTCCCGAGGGCCAAAAGAGTAGGACCTATCCTGACTGCTCACCCCAGCCCTCACACTGCCTTCTGACACACAGCCTGCCCATCTGCAAGAGGGACTTGCAGTAGGGAACCACATAGCTGAAAAATAACCGGGACAGGCTGCTACGTCTGGGGACTGGGTTATTTTTCCAGCTTGCTCCGTCCCTAGTGCTGGCATATGCCACGTAAACTGCTTAGGGCAGCCTGAGCCCACAGCTGCCGTGTCTCCAGCCAGGGACAGGAACTTATTACACACTTGAAAAACCACCTACAATAATTTCCTAAAAGGTCAGATGCAAGTGCTTCAACTTGTCATATTTACATGCCAAAACACAGCTACACACATCCTTTAGCCAACACTTAGTTGGTCATGTAAATAGTGTGCAGCTGCACTGCAAGTTCATCGCTAACGTGACCAAAAGGGCACTGGCATTTGCTTCCTACCTGGCAGTCCCACTTCATCACCCTTCCCATGCAGAGTGGAAGCTCCTACACTCAGGACAGCAGCAGGACCCGCTACAGATGCTCGAGCAGCCCCAGCTCAGAAGTGTTCAGCATCTCCAGGTAAGGCAAGCTCGCCACTGGGATGCCTCTTCCAGAGGTCCCAGATTAGATGGCACCATATGTGGAAGCACATGTTGAACTGCACCCCGGAGCAGTCCTTTGCCCACGGATGTTGCTTTACAGGATGTAGTTCATTGTGCAAATGTACAAGCCACCAGCACAGCAGGAGGCATAGAAGTGCTAAAACAACAGTCACTGCATGATTGCTCCCTCTCTTTTCCCATATTCTCTGCTGGACATCCCCAAAAGTCTCCTTAGGTGTAGTGCAGATTTGGTCAAGCTAAAACTTGCCTTGTTACAGATGTCTACCTACTCTGCCCTTGCAGCAGAAATCTTGACTACACCTATGCGACACAGAGCACAGCATGCTAGAGAGGTAAAACATTCCTCACCGGAGCACAGCTATGGGAGCTTTGCCCCATCACAGAAAGCTCCCCTGGCCGTACAGCTGAACGGCTTCTTGGGTGCACGCTGAAATAGCTCTTCTGCCACCAACACCTGCTCAGGCAGGACACCACTGCTGAAGACCGAGGAAAACGTTCAGCCACGGACACGCACTAGAGAGCGCGAGAGCAGCCCAGGTCTTTGGCTGCTCAGGCACTTGTCACTGCCCTCCTGAGCGAAGCTGCACAGGCACATGCTGCCGGAGCCCTGCCAGTTGCAGAGAAGGAAGCCATTGAGCACCCCATGGATGAGGACTGCCCACACAGTCACTCTGCCAGGGCTGCCTGGCCAGGGAGCACCATCGTCACTAGCTACAGCAATTTCTAGGCCAAGCTTTATGCCCAGTCTTGTTCAGCCCAACCCAGAGCAGTGTAGGAGCAGCCTGAACAGAGCAATCACAGAAGTACCCCTTGATAAGCCATGGCTACACCACCAAAACACAGGACGCTCGTGCTGCCTTCCATTACTGTACCGGGGGCTACAGCGGCTTTTATCTAGGACGAGCAAGAGCCGCCCAAATGGGCAGTGAAGAAAGCACGTCCATATGGCCTCCAGTTAAACACCTCGCCTCTCCACTTCACATGGCCTCTGCTCCTCCCCAGGGAGAGTGCCCAGCCCCAGCACACCAGCTGCCCGGGGTTCCCCGCCACCTGGCAGTGGCCAAACTGACAGGAGGGGTGCAGTGGTTTGCTGGCATGTTTACCAGGAGCACAGCTCAAGTTTCCCAGCTGCTGTTTACACCCACAGGGCTGTAATGTAATTGGGAAAAGTAAATCAATCGCTATCTGATATCGAACACAGCAGCCATGCAAAACAAGGGGAGGGCAGCACACCAACACATTCAGGCGGTAGTTTCCTGGGGAAGATCAGGGGTGCTAAGGGTCAAAATACTAGATCCAAATTCATCCTTCCACCTACTGACAGTATGAATACCGTTTGTGCTGCTCTACATAGGGGGGGGAAACTGCAGCATCCCCTTGTCTTGTTCCTGGGGATCCCTTCATGCCATCCAGCTCAGCTGAAGAGCATCACAGATTTTGCTAGAAGGGAATCACATAGTACCAATTAAAAACCGCCCCTGTTAACATACATGTGGTCAAAGCTTTGACTATGTGAGCTATAAAAACAAGTTTACAGCTCTAAAACATTGCAAATTAAAGAAACACAAAAAGATCAGGAGCCTTGAACTGAGTATGCTTTGATTAGTGCAATTGCAAATCAACCCCACTGAAGCCCTCTGCAACCATAAAGCAGGGACTTTTGATTGTGCAGCAAACCCAGAAACCACACCTTACCTAAAATGGGTTTCAAAAACAGAAGTCAGAGTAAGCCCCTCTAGAACAGTCTGCCCTTCTCCCTCAGCACAACTCTGAACTAAGTTTCAGTGGTTTTTGCATCTGTGGGAAGAGACAGGATCCTGAGAGAGCCAAAGGCATCCCAGTATTTCTGAAGGAGAGATGTTACTGGACCAACTGAGCAGGCCGCATGCCCTCACAGCTCAGAGATCAGTCCCACCAGTTAGGAGCGTTCCAGTTGCTGACTTACCCCATCCAAAGGGCTACAGCTCAACCCGGTATAAATCTGCTCTTGAATTGCTGCAGGTCATAGCCTATTATATTTTAAAATCAGCTTGTGCTATAATGTGGGACTACAATCCACATGGGCACTGGATCAGGTACACATGGTATTCTGCAGCACCATCAGCTAAATTTGCTTGTGAACATCAGTCAGGCTCCAAAAAGCTGTGGAAGAACAAGAAAACATGGAAGTTTTGCTTAAGCTTCCAGCTTTGCAGCACTAGACTCTTCCTGCTCATAGGATCTTCTAAGGCTTATTTAAGCAAGCTGTTAGAATTCACAACTGTGCTGGGGATGATTGATTTTTGGGGGGAGGGATGTCTGTTTATAGTCTTCCTTGCTTAATTATTTTTAGAAAGCAGCATGTTTCCAAATTAGTATCTTCCACATGACATTACCTGCTGCTCTCAGGGGCTTGAGCAATACCCAGTGATGCAGCCCCAGACAGAAGAGCTGTGTTTTCAGAGCCTTAGCCTGGAGAGCCCCCCTGACCCCCAAACCAGCTGGGCATGCTGTGATCCTCTCCCTCTCCTTCCAGAGAACTAGGCATTTGCTTCTTGAAAGTCTAAACATAGGAGTCATAAAAGAACATTAAATCCAGCACTGCCTTAAGAGGCCCCTCTTCACACACCACCAGGCTGTGCTTGCCTGATCAGTACCTGGCAGCACCTCCAAGATCATAGCCAAGGTATTTGGTTTCAGGTTTAAATATCATAATTGCCCTCAAGTGTGCATCTAGCATGAAGTGCCCAGCTATTTTGTTGCTGTTGCTGATTCAATACAGCCCGGTGATATTTCTAATCATTCCAGTGACTTCAAGGACCTATTCAAGCCATTCTTATTGTTGTTGAATTATCTCAAAGGCTCCAAGCCACCATCAGTTGTGAAGGCAAGTTAGACTGCCCTCAAACACATTAGCAGGGCTCACACTGCTATCCCTTTCCTGCTCCATGCATCCCCCCTTTCTCCATGGGAGGATCTGAAGAAATGACCTCATTTCCTTATGCGTAAAGCAACATGCCCCAAAATAATCTCTCCTACTACAAGACAGGCTCATTTGTCTTTTAAATGAAACAACCCAATAATCTTGCAGCAAATGAGAACCACCATCAGTCACATATCCCCTTGGAGATTTTGGTCACATGTCTTCAGGCCTGTGTTTGCCACAGGGTCTCACAGATGGAATAAACTGCATCTAGAGGCAGTTTTCAACAGCAAAGGGAACTGGAACAGCCACATTCCAAGCAGCCTGACCTCTGATTTTCATCAGGTGAAGAACACTTCAAGGTTGAAACTATAACGAACCGCAGGATGTTTTATTTGTACAGAGTCCAAGTAAGAACCATCCCCAGTTACAATTGCTACTGAAGACAATACAGATCTTTGTTGATTTTACAGTTCACAGCAATCACTTCAGACCTTATTTTGCTGCTAAACCAGTGTTTTTAGCCTTTACAGCCATGGCCACAGCACACAGGCCTCCTCAAATCTGTATTTGGCCTGTACAGAAGCTGGTTTTGAGTATTCTGCAGATTCAAGGTCAAGATACCTGCATCGGTTAGAGGCACAGATGAGAAACCTACCCAAATTCTATTAGTTAACAGGAATATATTTCCATCTGGACAAGATGGGGAATCCATGTGAAGGTGCCATCCCTTGCTCTGAAAGAATGACTGTCTTTAGAGTGCTGGAGAAATTTTAAAGTCTTACACTGGTTAAACAAAACCACACTCCTGGAAAGCAAAGTGACTGCGTTCATTTAAAGAGGCTGTTTATGGAAATGCTATAAATACCTACTCCCTCAGTGTTTTCCCTTTCTAAGCCTTAGTGGTGCTGATCTTTGAAAGAAGGAAAAAAATCTCACCTTGATACTAGAGAGCGCAAAACAGGTGTGACAGGGAAATGTTGCTGACCGTGATTAAGCTGGGGGGTTGGGGATGGGCTGTGGACTCTCCTGCCACTGTCCTCACTCCACCAAGCTGCAGCCTAAACCCCCAAGAGCAGCAGCATCCCAGAGAGAGCAGCTTGCCCACCTTAGTCTGAACTGTGCACCGCCTCCTGTGGAGGCTGAACATGCCCATAGAGACCTACAGAGTGACCAACACAGCAAAGCCCTTCTGAAGCTCTCAAGAAGAGAGGAGGCACAAGAACATTGTTAGCACTTCACCAGCTCCCCACAGCCCTCTGCTTTGCTTGCTGTACCTTCTGTTTCTTGATAATCATGGACTGAAACACAAGCCAGGCTATGTAGGTAGAGCAGCAAGCGCTGCAGCCTGCTTGGGCATGGCTGGAGTGACAGCTGGGACAAGGGGACCACTGCCACACCCCTGCCTGCGAGCTGTTGCTTCTCCCACCACACAACCAGCTGCAGACAGATGCTCATTTCCAGGACAGACAAGGCCTTGGGCTCTCTGCACCCATCCTTCTCCACAGGCAATGGGGAACCCCCTCACACCAGACTCCCAGCCAGAAGCAAGAGCATCACAGCAACATCAGGTGACACACCAGAGGCCACACTGAGGGAAGGTGGGTCTGCAGCAGAGACCAAGGAGAGATGACGCTGTTCCTACCAGCAGCTATTGAAGATGATCAGACCTCACGTGGAGTTGTACCCAAGTCACTCCTCCTGACCCAAACAGCTATGGGAAGGGGCCCTTTCCACTTGAATGAACAGCATCAACTCACCTGTGAGATGAGCACATCGAGGGGAGATGCCCTTACTAAGGAGTACCATTCTTCCTACACAGGCACCCTGGCTTCCTCTGGGAGCACCCACCATCCAACCCATGACCCATACTCCAGCTCCCTGTTGGTACAGCCCGTACCAGGTTTGTAGACTACATTTCAGCCATCTGGCATTTTGCTGTAGAAAGAAAAGAAATAACTTCTTAGCTTCAAGAGAAACACCCACTTCCCTGAAGCCCCACCACAATCCAGCCAGAGAAGCTAACACACACAGCTGCCCCCTTACCACAGAGCAGCAAGTGCTTCCATGTGTGGAAAGGCTACAGTATTAACCAAAGACCTGTGCAAACAGGTCTTCACTTCCCAGCTGGGAAATCACCTTCAAGTGCTGGTCAAGCAAGCACAGAGCTGTTAAGGAGTTTTTGAGTTTAAACTGTTTAAGCAGTGTTTGAGCAGAGAAATTATAATAGGTGCTTACAGACCTGTTGCTCCTGTTCAGGTTCAGTACCCACCTCACAGCACTCTTGCAGATCTCCAAGGCTACGCTGGCAGGATAGTATTTATCACCTATGTAGTCATCTGCTACCTGTTAAGAAACATGTGACTGCCCTGCATTTGTTTGACCACCGCCAAGTACAGTAAGTTCCTGCATGTTACTGAAACAAAAGAATTTGACATATCTGCAGGAAAAGGATCTCAAACTCAAGGGAGCATCTCTCAAATGTTACAAAGAGCCCCCCCCAATGCAAATGCAAAAGCAAAGGGCTCTTTCTTGAACATCAGCTGTGTGTGTTTAGACACAGTACAGCTTTCATCCAGAAATACACCACACTCTGTACAACCAGTTGTGTTCTGTCATCCATGACTGAGATGCCTTTAGGGTGAACTGTGGCACTAGTTAATAGCATTGATTAATTATGCTGGGTGGACTGGGGACTGTACAGGGCAGGCAAGAGGGCAAGGGATGCCATACTCCACTCAGGACTGCAGAAGATTGAGCAGCCACTTCTGATTAGAAACCTAGTCCCTATACTTTGGGGGGGAGCAGAAATGTTTAACCAGTGAAGGAAAGACTAAGTGGGCTGCGATCTCTTTACATGAGAGACTTTGGATTTTTCAGTGTACCAGAAGTTTGAGCTTCTTGGAGATGCTCTGATTTAGAATTCATAGCAGTGTTTGAGCAGAGAAATTATAATAGGTGCTTACAGACTGAAAACTACTACGCTGGGAAGGCAAGGCAGCTTGCCTTTTTTTTTTTTTTTTAAAAGAAAAAGCCACTTGCAGAAGGGCACAAAATTGAGGCACGAAGCATCAAATGACACCACCCAAGAATACTGGGATTTAAAAATATGGTATCTTGCACTGCTGGCCTGCTGACCGATTTGGTCATCTCCCCCTTTCAGCCCAGGCTGCTACAGCAGAGTCCGCCTTACAGTGAGGACACAGCAGATGCTCCAGAGAACGCCAGCCACAGCCACTCCCAAACCCATCTGCAGCAACTATTACTGGGGCTTCTATTTGTATTAGAAAAGGACATTGTAATTTCTCCCCACCCTCCCCCAAGTAATTTTCAGCATAGGTTTTAAAGCAAGTTGGAGCAGTGATAGGCAACTCCACCCTGCTCCACAGACGCACACCCAGCAAGCTGTCCATCTGTCCTGTGGGACATGGGCAGGTCTCCAATCCAGCTAGCACAGGGCAGCAGCATAAGGAAGCATTCCCTCCTTCTCCCTGCCCAAGGTGTTAATTCAGTAACAAGAATCAAGGTCCCAAACCCCAACCATCCTGCCTCAAGAAGTCACTGGTGTCCTGGTTTGGGCTGAACCAGAACTAA